CGGCTGAGAGCCATCAACATCCTGTAGCTGTGTGCGGTGCAACCACTATCAGGAGTTACTGAAAAAGAGAGAAGCAGAGTGACCTTGAACTCTGTAGCCCGTTAGGCATTCAACTAGGGACGGAAGTCTGCTTTCTAAAAATCTGAGCACAAGTCCCTTCCTCCCCTTCTAGCTGAATGCTTAGTATTTAGCTAGAGAGTTAGAGTATGTTCCTGATCTCTCCCATAATCAATAAGAAAAGAGAACACTGGTGTGGCATTACTTGGGAGGGAGTGGGATTGTGTATGAAACACTCAAGTTTGAGCACAGACATGATGACTTGAGCTAGCAGTTGCAATAAATAAAAAAATAAAGTAAAAAATTGCTATTAAATTCTCTATTCTGCGATACAAATTCTGTACCTAGATTAAGCAAAGACAACACATGTTTTGTCAGTGCAACTTTCATCTTAGTAACTCTTACTGACTTCTTGTAAACCAGAATATTTTCATGACACCATTTCAGTTTGTTTTGAATCTGGGATGATAAAATCAAAAACTTGCAGAGGATCAGTACTGAAGGTCATGGCAGATAGTATAATAAAAAATGTAATAATGCAAACTGTCATAAACTTTCTTGTTCCCTGAAATATGCTGATACAGCTTTATGATAGAAAAGGTTCTTTTTAAAATTGTTGTGCATAGCAAAGCTCAGAAGACATGTACTTTCAGAACAAGTTAAATATTTCTAATAGTGAGTCACCATGACTTTTCACAGACAAACAAGCAAGTCTGAAAATGTCTGCTTCTGTTTGAAATGCTTTCCTCCATATCTTAACATTTCCATGCAAGTTCTTTTCTGCATATAGCAAAAAACGCATAGTTCTTTTTACTTCTACTTGCAACATTATTTATTTCTATTTACATTATGGGAAATTCAAAACATGTCTTTAGTTAGGTATTAGAAAACGATACCTTTTCACAATCAAATTGCATTTGGCCGATAAAAGACTATTTTCCTTTTTAACTTAAGATTGTGCAGTTACTAATAGTGAGCAATTCATTTGAGAAGCTATTGTGAAAGGCTGTATTTTCAAGTAAGTCTCTCTACCTAGAAAAGGTTGTTTATGTGTCTGTTACAAATTGTGAGGTGTTAAGATATTCTGCATTTCAGAATGCACAAGGTGGAATTCTTCTGATGTTTATTGCCTTTAAAATAAACTGTTTCAATTCTCTTAGAATTGCTTCCTGCAGAGAAGAGCCTCATAATTAAAAACAGAGAGTAGGATAGAACAGCAGTGCAAGTGCTTTGATGTGTTGGATACCCAATAGATTTTCTTGAGATAAGATGACCTATAGTTATTGATAATACTTTTCTTTCCAAGCCAGATTTTCAGAACTACCTGGAGTTAGCTTGTTTCGCATTTCGTTTGATGAAGAACAGAATATTAAGCATGAAGGAGGTAATTATACTATTTGGAGTAAGTCAGGTTTACTGCCTGGGATGGCTATTCAAAACACTGCATGAATTTCATTATAATTGCTTATCTCCTGTTTGAGTAAAAGTTGATTTCCTTTATACTTTAATGATTTCTTTTCCTTTTTTTTTTAATAGGTAGGCAAACTTTATAACCATGAATGCTTCTTCTATGTTCTTTTTAACCTTCTTTTGCTATGCTTAAAAAAACCCAAACAAAACCCACACAAAATCCCCAAAACAAAACAAAAAAACCCCCAAACCCTGACAATATCCTAGTAGGACAGAAGAAAGTTCAAAGTAGAACAGACTGTGTAGTACACAGCCGTAAATGTTGTTTGTATTTCAGTTTCATAGCAGACAGAGGAAATTGGTGAAAACTAGTCTTAATTACTTAAAAGAAGTTTTCCTACCCTATAAACTTTAGTTTTAGTCTTTTTCCCTCTGTAATCTCATATGATACAACGCCCTTCTATATTCTGTCAGTTGTGTTCCATCAGGAAGTAGGTATATGTAACTTACATTTTGTATGTTTAATAGGGCGAAACATAATATTTGTAAAACAGGAATGATATATCATAGCAGGCATTTGTTTTCTTACAAATTATTTTTCCTACAAATTATATACTGTGTTATTTCAATATTACTCCCTGATTAAAGATTAGATCGAGTTTCTATTACAGTCGTCCTTTTGAACCTTGTATTAACATCAACAAATAAATTACTGCAATTTCAAACCAAAAGTTTTGTGAATAAGGCCAGAATTAAATTTGTTTCATCAGACTAAGTTTCTGGGTTAGTGAAGTTTTAGGGTTGTAACCCCTAGGTAAAACAAGGCTGGCATGGCTCCATAGGTAGCTTCAGCTTAAATTTTTTGTGCTCTCTCTTTATAAATGACTACTTGTTGATTTCTTAATGTTCCTTTGTTTATATTTTTGTTTAATGGACTGCTTGGTTCGGTCTTGTAGTGTAAGTAACACCCCAAGAGATGCCAGATCCTATTCTCCAAAGCCTTATTTTATTAGTCCATCAAGTATCAAGCTGAAGATTTTATTATTTTTTTTTCTTTTAATAATAATGAAAACTAAGAACTTCTGAGTGAGGCAGAATATAAAGGTCTAGAAATGCATCTTAGCACTCCTCTTTAACATTCCTTCCAGACTATTTATTCAAACAACCTTCAGGGGCTTCCTATATAGAATAAACTGTACAGTCTCCTTGAAGTCTCTTTCCGTCACCTATAAATTTAGAGTTTTGGAGGCAGGGGCACAGGTCCCCCTCTGAGCTACAGAAACTTCTCTCAGCTAAGCAAGTTTATTTGCTCTTAAGAAAGGAGCAATCTTCCTTTTCCTCTAAAGAGTTCCACTTGACCTAAAGCTCATCAGTCAGAAAACCACACGCACTGCCTCTGAGCAGCTTTGCTGAGCAGCTTTACACTTTTGAGCTGAAAAAATACATTATACAGTATTTATATGACAGTTTAGAAACAAACACATCTTTAAATTGTACTTTCTGTCATGGTTTTTTATCATCTCCGACCTTGTGACATTAATAGTAGAGATGCAGTAAATATAGTAAAAATTTTGTTACCATCTTTAATGTACCTGTTTGAGGAAGATCTGTTATCTTTTTGGACACAGAAGTAATAATTAACATGTAAACCACATACATCTCGAGATACCTAATCTTTCCTTTCTGTTTGACTGAAATTATCCGTTCCTACAGTTGGAACATTTCTGGATTACACTTTACATTTATTTCAAATTTGTGGCATGCCACTAGCTTTAGTTGATTACTTTGAATTTGCACTTCTTATTGATGACAGAAATATCAGATTCAAAGGATGTCAAGGCAGTATGAGGTCAATCTCTGAATATGCAAAATATTTGTGCTTTTTAGAAATTTAAATGAAGTTCGACTGACCAGAATTCTAAATGCTATGTGCTGATGATGTAGTGCATCTTGCGAAAGGTACGCTTTAAGTGTATATTACCTTTACCTGAAAGACAGGTTAGGTAAAATTGAACCAGTGAGAAATTCTCCCAGAGATTTATAATTAGAGCCATTGCTCACTCCTCTGGCAAGTTTGTGCAGCTGAGGTCTTAAAAATAATTTTTAAATTCTGCAGGGAGTTTTCAAAATACAGATTATTGTAGAAAACTGTATAAGCTTAGTTTTGCAGAATAAGAGATGCCTGCAGCTAAACAATTTTTCATAGACTGAAATATAATTAATGAGAGAATCTAACAACAGAGAAGTTAAATGATACTTGCTTTTTTGTGACATTAGCAAGGGAATTTTATTCCCGACCTGCTCTTGCTTCCTTTACCATCAGTTCTACCTCTTGAAATTTGAAATGTAAGGTTTTTCTGTAAATCTTAACTCAGATTAAAACCTCCCTATGAATAAAAATGTTATAA